CCTCTCTCTCTCAGCTCTGTCATCACCACCCACCTCTCTCCTCTTTTCTCCCCTCTCTGTCTGAGCACTGTCACTTCCTCTGCAATTTGCCTTGTCTCGTGATTTGATGACTTCGGCCTCCCTCTACGAAATCCATACAGCTCTTCTGTCTCATCCTCCTCGTCGTTTAGCCACCCCCTCCCTCTCTCTTGCTGACCTGCACTTTTTCTTGCTTGTTTCCTTTCTTCCGAATGGTATTACAGTGTTTCCATCGGGATTCGAACTCGTGATCAGTTTATCGACAGTTACAAACTAGTGCTAGTGTGTACCAGTCAGCCACATGCGAGCTCAAAAAAATCATGAGCAAACACTTGTACCAGTGGCAGTCAGGTTAACTGGCGCTTCAACCTGCACTGGTTCTTCTGCACTTGTTCAGCTCAATTGTTTCTGGCAATTGTGCTATCACCTCTCTCGCTGTCTACTCTCTTTCCAACAATTGCCCGACTGTTCCCATCACTATATCTTCTCTCTTCTGCCTCTTCTCCACCGCTTCCTTCATCTGCGTCCTTCAGATTCTGATCTAATGTCTTCTCTCTTACGGAATGTAATGTCGTCGTGGCCTTGCACTTGTCTTCGCTCCCTGCTTTCCCTCTCCTTATCCAACGCTCCAGACGAAGGATTTTCCCTTTCCTCTGCTCTTTTGCTCCCGTGTCCTCCTGCTTCTCCTCGTTTTTCGACTTCGTCGTCCATTTTCTTCTGCGCCCCCTCCTCCTCCTCCTCCTCCTCCTCCTCCTCCTCCTCCTCTTCCTCCTCTACGTTGCCATCATTGTGCCCAGAGACCGTACGTCGAATGTCTGTTGGGAAAGACACGTAATCGCAGGATGGTTGGTTGCTGCGTGGGGGTACATGCACTCAATCAGAGTACGAAATTACTCTATCCTATCCTCCTACCTCCTCCCTCCGTCCTCCATCTTCTCATTCCACCAGCTGTTTCCTATCCGTTTCTGCAACGGATCCGGTGACCTTGGCCATGAGTTATGTCCCGATCTCTACCCCCTCCGGGGTGACAGAGAGAGCACAGTCGATCGAGGTCGCAACTTAGCGTTCATCCCGACTTGTGAACGAATGTAACGTCGGGGCTTGGGATGTGATGTTGTTCTGTTCCTTGTTGATTGGCATTTATTTCTTTCTTCCTTTTCCTCTCTATTTTTCCTCCTTTTTGCAACGGGATCGGAAGGGCAGTTGTGTCTGGACAGGCGATCGGTGCTCTGCTCTTGAATGGATGCCCCCCCCTTTTGCCCCTGCGTCTCGCCGCGCTGCCTCGCCCCCGCCCACTCGCCCCCCTCTTGCCCTTCGTCGTCGGTAGCCCTGTTCCCGTAGGACTTCTTCAGGCCTTCCGCTGCCACTGGTAGTTTACGAGCAGTAAAAGACAAACCTGGACGTCAAAAGTGGATGACGTTGTAGTCGTGGAATATCCAATCGGACGACGTGGTCCTGGGCGGGATCACCGGGATCACCATCGTTGCAGTTGTATGCAAGGATAGCGGGGGGAAGCGAGGAGCGGTTGGTTGCACTCTCTACTCCCGGTGTCAATAAGATTTGGCGGTGGCTCTCTCTCCTGGCTTGCCGCACACATTGTGTGTTGTGGATTGGGCTTCAAGCGAATCGCGGGGTGAACTTGGCGCGCAGTGTGGCGCGGATCGAGCCATTGGGTGTAGGTTGATTGCTGTCGGGTCTACGTCTGCCTGCTAACGATGGGGAATGAGAAGTACAAAGCTGGGGTCCACGTCAGCAGGTCTGATCCATGGACCACTGAACAACCGGCATTGAAGGATGATGGATTGGTTCGTTAGTTGACCGATGGATGGATGTTGTTGTCTCGATGAAGAGATGAATCGATTTCGCGGATGGAAACATGGATTGATTGATTGGTGGGGTGACTGATTGACTGATCGGCTGATTGATTGATTGATTGATTGATTGATTGATTGATGGCGTGATTGATTTTATGATGGATGAATGGATGGATGGATGCCTGGAATCGGTGCCTGGTTCATTGACGTTTTAGAGGTATTGGGAGATTGATTGGAGCAAGAGATGGATTGGTCAGTCCATCGGCCTGTTGATGTCATTGATTGATGAATTGATTGATCATTGGATGAAGCAGTGATTGATTTAACTGATTAACTGACCGATTGATTGATGGGTGAACTGACTTATGGGAGGCAAGATATCGATAGACGAGAACGAAGCTGGTGCATGTCGGAGAAGACTTTGGAGTAAGGTTGGTTGAGTGTTTGAATGACACATGATCGGTTAATTGTTGGAATGAAACACGGCCATCGCCCAATAAGTCATCAACCACCATGCAACCAATGATGACCCCTCTCTCTCTCTCTCATGAATGAATGAATGACACATGCCGGTTGATGAATGAAGGACACATGGGCACTCTTGTGGGTGGGTGGGTGTGGTTCGACAGGAGGTGTACGAATCCGGAATACATACTGTTCGAAGCCAGATTTCGTTGTCAGAACTCGACAGATTTTTTCCCCATTTGAATGCTCAGCAGGGGGGGGAAGACACACACACACACACACACACACACACACACACACAGAGAGAGAGAGAGAGAGAGAGAGAGAGAGAGAGAGAGAGAGAGA